TAATTAATATGATCTTCGAGTAACAATTGGCATAATTAGTGAAATAAACAACCCGAAATGTAATTAAATAAAAGGGTATATAATAATTCTCTAATTACTAGCATACCCATAAGTGTGTTCGTCTTCAATTTTTTTTTCGGCGGGGGTGGCGGGGAGGGGGACGGAGAGAGAAAATTAACTTAAAAGTAACAAGATTTTACCTGAAAATTCTACTTCTTTCTGAATATGCATTTTATCTGATTTAGCAAAATCCTTAAGAAATTGTGCCATACACCATGATCCAACGATAACATGGTAATGGCATGAGTTCTAGTGATTATATTATCAAAACTACCAATTTTTGCAGGACGACTAAAAATATGCAAAACTTTTAACGTTTAATTTGAAATTTGGGTTGACCAAATAAAAAAAAAATGCAAGTCAATTACCAAATATTCCCACAGGAATCAACTCATTTGGTACATAGAACACCAGAGTTTCCAACTGTAGCATTAGGCAATAGGCAGGCAGCTCTTACAGTTTAGATTCTGTAAAATTTTAGATTCTTTGACCAACAACATAAAAAATACTAACCAAATAAACATTACGATGCCTTCTAATAATAAATCAAATCAAGTAGTACTAATTAAGAACCAGGTATGCTGTATCTATGTCGGACTATTTGACGTGCACATCACTTTTAGTAAGTGTTTAATTTAATCAATCCATATTATTCATGACCTAGAATATTAGAGATTTGAAAAGGAAAAAAAGGGTTAGGAAATTTAAAAAAGAGAAGGGAAAAAGACAATGCAACTAAAACTGAGTATTTGCTATTTTTAATAATTTTTTTTGGAAACAGGGTGGAAAACCTTTTGTCCTCAGAAAAAAATTCATACCAGCTGGACGGTGAATTTTCTGAGAACAGGATGGCGAAATATTATTAGTAAAATCTTCTATTAACCGGTTTTGAAGATATTGCTTAGACAGTATTTTATGAATTAGGCCTTTAAAAATACCTAACACAACTGCTTTGACGAGCTAAATTGGGGCTTTTAAAATTTGAGCAACTTTTTTTTGGTTGATTCAGCATTAGTCGCAATAGAACAAATTAAAGAACTTATTTTGAAGAAAAATGTTGCTTATAGGCTTCAACAAAAAAATTGTCTAGAGGAAGGAATTATTTTATATAAGGTGCATCCAAACTGGCTCAAAGTGTCTCTTATTTTCCATGCATCCGAGTCAATTTATCTATATTTCAATCATATTAAGTAACGTTGTTCTCCAAGATTTAAGCATATAAACAAAATTATCTAACATATTTTGCCTCAAGTAAGATTACTTTAAATTCTTGTCTTCCTTGGTTTTCACTTCACTTTATTTTGGCCACACCCTTGGGTGTTGGTTGATACAAATAATTATAAGGGAAAAACATAAGAATATAAAACAATATAAAAAATAAAAAAAATTATTAAGGAAATTAAAAGTTTAGTAACAGGTGTAGCTATTTTGAGCGGGTCCTAACTTAAGATTAACCTCATTAATTTAATTCCTGGTGGCTGCCAATGATTTGATTATTATTGAAATATTTTATGGAAGGTAGCTTCAAAGACTGTCACAATAATGAGATAATTTATTTATGATAATTCCTAAGTTAATGCGGTCGGCCAAACCATGATAGTATTATTTTGCTTAATCTTTTCAAGAAGAATTTTTAAATTTGAGACAGGGATGGTGCTATGGACCTAAGGGACCCTATTAGCCCTTATTAAATTTCTTATAACGAACCATTTGCGTTGTATAGCCTACAAATGTAGGGCAATGGTCCCTTCGTATATTAGGATAATATATTCTTTCTGTCATATAATATCTTAAGTTAATATTAGTTTCAACTATAAGGCAGATCCTTCATCTTTCATTTGAGTTCTTTTAGCAAATTAGATTCCTCATGATTAGCAGTATTACTATTTAAAAAATTAACCGACAGTTTAAACAAGATTAGAAAAAGTGACTTTCTCTTTTTTCTTTCTTTAATTTCTCAACTGCTAGCTAAAACGTTAGAGTACTTTGCTTTGTTAAAGCTCGGGTCCATATTAGTTAGTAGGTGTTAACCCAATTCGAGAGTTACCTTTTAATGTTGGATAGTTAATATTTGGATCAGTCTATTAATGAACATCAATTTATTGCAGAGTTAAAAATTGTATAAGAATATTTTCTAGTGGTTTATGGTTTTATACGTTTATTGCTTCACCAGCTACTCTATATATTATATGAACTTCTTGTGTTAGAAATAATCTTTTCGTGGCTTATAGTATTAATAAGAATTGAACCATGAGACTAATCCGCAAGATAAATTTTGCACGACATCTTCGATTAAGGAACTCACTTCCCGAGAGACTAATCCTTTGATTCAAAATCCAGATATCACATGATTATAATTTTGGGATTTTATATAATTATCAGGAATATAATCTGAATAACTTATCCTATATTTTGCGGAGGATAAGTTATACAAAGATTTTGATATTAAAATAATACCCATTCTAATTACTACCTCAAACCAAATATGGGGTAAAATTAATTCTAAAATTTACACCGAAATAATCCACATTACCCTTGAACCAAACGGATAGACAAGTTTCCATGTCATCAAATAGTGCATAGTTTTTTATCATTATTCAAATTGAGTTGTTACTGTGGTACCTGTGATATTATGTACTTAATCATTGAATATCAAGTTTGCTTAGTCTTCCTATTTCCTATAACAAGATTTTCTGGTCTTCATATTTCTCTGTTTTCTATTGTAAAAGACAAATTACTCCATTATTCATATGAGGTAAGGTCAATTAAAGTTGAATCTTGAGAATCAAGGACTTAACTGCGTGCATGAAATGAACTTACTTAAAAATCTCTCATCTTTAACCTCTTTTCCTATTCATATTCTGTCCTTACTCTTTAGGTCCCCACTTCCAACAATAATAAAAATAAATTAAAAGAGGAATATTTCGTCTTTAATACCCTATATACGATCTAAATGGGTTGGTTGGAAACTTTAGACTGATCTTTTTGGATTAGTTGTATTAGTTAACTTGTTGAGACATTACTTTTTTAGTGATGCAAGGTGGATGCATGAAGCTAAGCCTATTATGGTATGGCATGCCAAAAAATGGAGATCTAGATTCTAGATATAGGTCACAAGTTTTTTTGCAACTACATGTGTAGTACAAGTAAATAATTTTGAGAATGTGAGTAAATTCAACCTCCCTATTCAAAATATTTTGTATGTTCATATTGCTTGAAGGGTTTAAAAGTTTCAGTATAGTGATCATGAAATTCAAAAACTCATTTTCTGTCACAGGTATAATAACCATATGTTTAAAAGTTATTGATTCAAAATAAAAAATTGTCACAGGATTGAAAATAAAGAGGGGAGCAATCAATTTAAACATGTGATGAAGTGCTCTTTGTTTTCTATCGGCACGAACATAAAAGTAACTCCTCTCTCTGTCCATCTATACATCTTCCTCTTAGAATCAAAGTTGGACTTACGAGCAAATTTCTATATTGTGATTTCTATTCCCTTGAAGTATATAATTCTTGTTCCTGTTCCTTGATTTAATTCTTCAGCTTAGTTTCTGTAATCATATTTTTTTGGTGGATTAGTAACTTACCGTGTCATGAAATAACTTCCAATCAAACATCATGTTTCTAACTGAAAAATAACAGAGTGAGAGAGGAACGTAGTTTCTTGATCCAATCTACAGATATTAATAGATTAAGTATATCGTCCTATCATCATACTATACTAAAAATGGAAACACTCCCAAGTCAAAAGTTAATTTATAAATTTACCCATTAAAAACTAAGTGACTACTTTACCCTTCAATCAAATATTAGTTGGAAAATATTTTTGTATAAAAGTGTGAATATACATTCTAATAAGAATAATTAAGAAAATTAATTGGAAGGAGAAGAAGTTAACACCCCTTCATATCGTCAGCTTTTACTTCTCTGCATTCTAAATTCTATCCGTTTTTTTTTTACTTTTTCTCTACTTTTCATTTACTTTATCTTATTGTAAGAATAAATATCTCAATAATTATTTCTTCAGTGTTTCACAAGATTTAAGGCTTTAATTGAAGCCCCATAATAAATAAGGACAAACAAAGATACCATTTCAAAATTATTTAATTGCATGATAAATAGGAAAGACACGTTTCAAAATTTTAAATCCAAAATTTCCAGCTTTTCAACTTCCACAATCTTAAAGGTTAAAATCATCCTTCACCTATTTAGTAGTTTTCAACGGTATATGAAAATAGTCCCAACCTTTTTACCCTCTTTTTTATCTTCTTTCCAATTCTCTCTAATTGCTTTTTTGATTGTGACACCGCTCGTTTTACCCAAATTTTTTTTGATTAAATTATAGCAGTGATGAGCTCAGTGAATTTGTTGAGTTTTGTAGTTGACAGTTTGTATTAATGTTTTTTTTTTAGTTTGATTCCCTAAATTTCATCTTTCATATGTTCAGAATTATTAGTTGCCCTGGTGATATTGATAAGTGGGAATTATACGTTAAATATTTTTATGGTATATTATCTATTCATATTTATAAATGTTTAATTTACTTTGTTTTCTACTCTCATTGGCGTTATCAATTTCATGGTGCATTTGAAATAATGATCAAAGAAATAATATAGTATGCATTCTTATTTATCGGTGTTGAATGTATATCTCTCATGTCTCACTTATGAATAGTCTTTTTTTTGTGCTAGGAGGAAGAAATGTTGAGGAAGTGTTTGATACGTCCTTATTAGATGTTTTATACAATGCTGAATATATTACTCGAATGTACTGAATATGATAAGTTTTATAATTACTATTTTAAATTAGCTTGTCAAAGAGATTGTCTATGATGAATTGATGACAATTACTTCTTACCTTTTGTTTATTACTCAAAAACATGTTTCAATAATCTCATGTGATTATTCAACATATTATAAAAAATAACTTGGAAATGTCCAGTGACTAGTAAGAGTATAAAAAAATAACCACGACAAAAGATTTTAGTTATGTAATCCTTCGAACCTGATTATTTTGAAAGCAATCAGAAACAATATCTGTTCATGAATTACAACATCATATTATTGGACTTGCTAGTTTTGCAAAGTTGTACTAGCTCTCCAACGGCTGCATCCATTTCTTCCTCTCTTTCCTGGTTCAAATTTTCACTAATTTCTCTAACTTTATTCCTTAGATTTTCCCCTGTTTTCTCGTAAATTACACTTTTAACAACTTGTGCTACCTCTCCTCTGTGAACTTTACCTTCATCATCTCTAACAATCTCCATTGCGACTCCAAGTTCCACAATCAGCCTAGCATTTATTGGCTGATCAAGATGCATGGGCAAAGCTATAATAGGCACACCAAAATCTATACTTTCCATTACAGAATTCCAACCACAATGACTTACAAATCCTCCAGTACTGGGATGACTTAGAATTCTTAGTTGTGGTGCCCATCCATTCACAACCCTTCCCCTATCTCCAATTCTTTCAAGAAAACCTTCTGGTAGTGCTTCTTCAACTCTAACTTCTTCACCCTTTGGAAATCTTACAACCCATATGAAGTTAACATTGCTAAGTTCCAATCCTAAAGCTATTTCTTCCAAATCTTCTTTACTCAAGAAATACTGGCTTCCAAAGGAGACAAATACAGTTGAATTCTCATATTTCTTTCCTAGCCAATCAATGAGATCATCATCTAGGTCCCCATCATATTCATTTGTTGTTTCTTGGACTGGAGGACCAACTGGTGCAATTTTCCATTGGATCAACTCGGTGAAGTAATCGATGTATTTGGCTTCTGTTGCCCTCGAGGTACTCATCAGTATTATCTTATTCATAGGTTCTTCTTCTTCAGCGAAAGGGTCCTTATCATCAGGATCCTTCTCTTTAGCAGCTTTTTCCATCATTTCTTCCCTTCGTTGTCGCTCAATTTCCCTCAAATAAAGAGCTGGGAAAGGAAATTCAGTCCCCGGCTTTTTTACTGGATGAAAAATGTATGATAACATAGCCGCAGAAAAAGTCAAGAGCATGACTGCTGGAATATTGTATGAATTTGCAACTTCCTTAGCCCATGGCTGCAATATATCATAGATTAACATATTCGGTTTTAAATTTTCTATGATTTTGTAAAAATTAGGTTTAGACATTTTGAGGGCTTTTTTTAGGGTGTAATTTAGATGGGGTGGGATGCCGTTAGTTGTATGGTAACTAGGAGGAAGCTCGGGTAAATCTGGTAAATGAAATTCAACCAACTGAATTGAAAAGGAGTATTTTTGAGGGATTTTTTTCTTAATAAAATTGAGATTCACAGGCGTAGAACAGAGATATACATAGAATCCCCTGCATGCAAGTTTCTTGGCAACAGTTAAATAAGGAGAGATGTGACCATAAGCCAACCATGGAAACATCAGTACCCTTAAAATACTTTGTTCTGTATCCATGAAAATCGAAAAGGATGATAAAAACAGATTAGCTATGGCTGTTTGTGAAGTTAATAGTATTGCCCGGAGCATGCCTTTAATAAACGAAGGTAAATGGCTGCTAAAAAAGAATAGAAAATGAAAGGTATGTTTCTATGTCAATGTGAAACTTGCTTTTCTGCAAACGTGATCAAGTGATTATTGTTGAGTGATTGGAAAAAATATTCATAAAATATTTTCTTAGTGAAAGTGATTGGTCATTAGATTATTTCTAGGAATTTTTCTATCTTAAGATTTTTAGCCAAGTTTGATAAAATAAACTTTCAACCTTTTTATCTAGAAGACGATTAATTAATAAGTTGAGTAACGAATAAAAGTGTGGTATAGATTTAGATATAGGTGACAAGGATTTTGCAACTATAAGTATAGTAGAAGTAAATGACTTTGAGAACGTGAATAAATGCAACCTCAAGTTAGGTCTCCGATTCAAAATATTTTGCATGTTCATACTGCTCGAAAGGTTTAAAAGTTTCAGTGTAACGATCATGAATAATGAGCTAATTTTTTTAAATATACATAACTGAACTTACAATAGCAATGTCTCAAATGTACAAATACTTAAATTCAAAAATTCATTTTCTTACAACTTTTTGAGTTGACTTTTTTTAAATTCAACTCTCAAAGAATATAATTTTCAAAACAATAGCAAACTATCTCCCAAACTTACTCAAAAGTACATAATATATTATTAGTAAGTTAAATATTACGAGCGGTTAATAAGATAAAACTTGTAATTAATTTCACAATTCCTTTAATTGAGTGGACGGTGGAAAAAAATATGTGTAGGTCTTCCTATGCAGCTCACATCATTCGAGGTGGCTTAGACTAATATTCAATCGCAAATTAGGTAGTGAAGTTGTGCAAAAAATTTAGCACTATCAATGTATATATAAAAAAGTGAAATTGTTCTGTAAAGTTCAATTATTTTTCACAATTGAATTTTACAGAACAAATTTCACAAAATTTCACTTATATACATTGATAGTGCTAAATTGATGAGATTATAAAACTGTAAATTGGGTGTATACTCACCCCTGAAAAAAAGATACGTATAAAACTGTAAATACAAAAATAAAATAAAAAGATCCTCAAAATTGAAACAACCTGAAAAAGGCAAGAAAATTAAGAGAGCTCTTGACTTGGTCCACAACAGGTCTATAACAGTCCAGGATGTCATCCACCCAAACCACAAGTCAGTGAGTTACTGGCAATGCCCAAATAAAGACTTCCTAACTTTTTCTTCTCTTTTTCCATTTTACTGCCACTTCCACTGTGTTTTCTTGTTTCTTTCTACTATCTTTTTCTCCCTACAAGTAAGGTAAAAGTAAAAAAGGAAAGACTGTAGAAAGTTACCCTACTTTTAGTTGCAGGTGATGTGTGCATGCATACCCATAAGTACATAACTCTATTACATCACCTTTGTCCAAGATTTTTGGTAATAATAAAAGCCAAGTTTATGGTATCAGAATTTTAAGAAAAATTTAGGAATTTCTGTTAAATGGGTCAGCTTTATTTGTGGCAATAGAAGCTCGCTCGCTCGCTCTTACTTACCTTCTCATCAAACAAATACACTGTCATCTTCCTTTCTTTGACCAACAATTATACTTTTTTCCTATGATAATTACATTTCTCTTGTTTTATAGTAGTATTATATGTTAATGGCAGTAAATATTTTTTTTTCCTGATAATCAGTCATATTCATAAGAAATTTAAAAAAATGGTGTGGTGGTGCCAACTAAGAAGCTGGCTTGCACCTGTTCCATGACTTCCCTTTTACTGTTTGTAATTGTAAGGCAAATTTCTCTTATCACCTACCACTGAAAACTCCATCTTTCCTTTCCTTCTCTGTCATATTCCTATTTCTAAAAAGCACCCTTATACCGATTGTACCATTTATTATTCTATGTATTTTTAGTCTCTTTGCAAATTCAGCCCTTTTGTTGTTGTCATCTGGTTTACTGTCTTTCAGAAGGGGCAGGTGGTGGTCTCAGAAAGCACCATCTCAGCTTAGATTTGGACTTTAATCTGCCAATGCTGTGAAAAATCAGATACAAGATTGTACTATTAGTTTTGCTAGTATTTAACTTGTGTAGCTCTAAAGAGAGTCTATTATTTGTGTGTTCTTAGAATTTGGTAAGTGCATTGGCTTTCTTGGGTTTTCTTGGTCAAGATCTGTGGATTGGCTTTTTGTTCATCCTTTTGAGGAAGAGAGTGATGATGGAGTTCTTGAGATCTGGTCTTTGAAGATTGTGTTTTGGGGGTATATCTCAGGAAGGTATGGGGATTATAAAAATTGTAACTTTCTCAAAGTGATGCACTTTTTCTCTCAAAATCATGAACTTTTTTTTTCTCTGTATGTTCCCATTGTTTTGCATTTCTTGTTTATTTTCTTGACATTGGCATCTGGAATTACATAAGGGATTTTTGTTTATGTTGCTGTACATTCTCTACTAGTGGATCTGTTATATGATCTCTTGGTTGACTGGCTCAGTTTATGAATTTGCTGTTTGCTTTCTGTGTTTCCTTTTAAAACAAAAGTCATTGGTAGGATGCCCTTTTTCTTCCTTCCCACCTTCATTGTTAATTTTTGAAGATTTTACAAATGGTGAACATGATTATACTCATTGGTAGTAAAAGGAAAAGTGCTTATATTTTCTGTTTCACTTGGAGTTGCAATTAGAGAATTCAGAAATAAAAATTATAACTTTAGTTGCATATTGGGTTTAATAGAACTAATACTTTCTTAGATGTGCGTTTTGTGTGTAAAGTTTCTGTTCATCATTCAATTTATGCTATTTTTATAGGTCTGTTGACATCCTAGAAGATGGCTTCTAATCTAAAGGAGGATTTATCGCAAAAAACTGCTGTGTTTGGTCTCAAGGTCTGGCAATTGATTGGAATCCTTGTTGGGATTTTCATAGTGGTCATCCTCTTATTGTTAACATTGTATCTCACTTTCCGGAGGAAGTCAAAAAGAGCTACAGACAATCTCCCTATTAGCCAAATACCTACTGTTTCTAAGGAAATTAAAGAAGTTCGGGTTGAGCAAGTATCAACAAACGAATTTGCTCCACGTGATGGAATTCTTCTCACTATTCATGACAAAACCAGTGATAAAGAATCAGACAAGGTTTTGGTTCATCTTGGAATGGGGAAAAAGAACGGCGATAACAGCAGNAGGAAAAAGAACTGCGATAACAGCAGTCAATCGGATTCCTTCCATCACATTGATAAGGACTGTTGTGGGTCACAATCAGGAGAAGAAGGGAGTTCATGCAAAACTGCATATAAAGCTTATAATTCACATCCAATAGCTGCTCCTTCTCCTCTAACTGGATTACCTGAATTTTCACACTTGGGTTGGGGCCACTGGTTTACATTGAGAGATCTTGAGGTTGCAACAAGCCGGTTCTCAAAGGAGAATATTCTTGGTGAGGGTGGATATGGCGTTGTCTACAGGGGAAGTTTGATTAATGGAACACCTGTAGCTATTAAGAAGCTCCTCAACAATCTGTGAGTTGATATAATCAAATTATATGCTTTCCTTACTGGTCCGTTTGTTTTAGTTACGGCTTGAGTTTGAATTTAAGATCTTTGTCCCAGAGGTCAAGCAGAGAAAGAGTTCCAAGTGGAGGTTGAAGCCATCGGCCACGTGCGTCACAAAAATTTGGTTCGCCTTCTAGGATACTGCATTGAAGGAACTCACAGGTATTTCCCCATCTGGAAGTCTCGGATAGTCCTATACCTTTTTTGACATGAAAATGAAGCTCTGGATTTTTCATTACCTTCACGCGCCTGTGCTGTAATAGAATGAGTGTTATGTTCTTTCTTGCGTACCATTTGAAAATGCTATGTTCTAATTCATGATCTCAGGATGCTGGTTTACGAGTATGTCAGCAATGGCAATTTGGAACAGTGGCTTCATGGAGCCATGCGACATCACGGGTATCTCACTTGGGAGGCTAGGGTGAAGGTTCTCCTTGGGACAGCTAAAGCGTAAGTTCATTCAAGCTAAATCTATTTTTTGGAATAATACAGATTTCTTGATGTACCATCATCTCTTGCAGTCTTGCTTATTTGCATGAGAATATTGAGCCCAAAGTTGTTCATCGAGACATAAAATCAAGTAATATATTGATTGATGATGACTTCAATGCTAAAGTCTCTGACTTTGGTCTTGCCAAGCTGCTTGGTGCGGGCAAAAGTCACATCACAACTCGAGTCATGGGTACCTTTGGGTTAGTTTCCTCTTTCTGCTCGTTTTGATTCAATTCCAGCTTGAGTAAATTTCATGTTTTGGTCTTCTGGGTTTTACAATCTTCTACTTCTGGCGTCTTATTTTGTTCCTCTTTTGGTATAAAAAGATGAAAAAGAAGTGCTACTTTTAGCATTGTTATATCATTTCACGCCCTTTCAAATATTTGACAGGTATGTGGCTCCTGAATATGCAAATACTGGTCTCTTAAATGAAAAGAGTGATGTTTATAGCTTTGGGGTTGTGCTGTTAGAAGCAATCACTGGAAGAGATCCCGTGGACTATGGCCGGCCGGCCCAAGAGGTTTGCTATCTTTAGTACCTTATATTAAGATCTCATTAGCACACTGACTTATATATCTAATCTGCATCCTAATTATTGAAGAAGCTGTAAATATGATTGTGCCCGGATCTTCAGCAGAATAGATCGTTGTTAATATACTTGCCTTGCTGGTTTTCTGATATATGTCTCATTTGCATTTTCGATTCAGTTTCCCCAGATTTTTTACAGATTACTTGTTCTTGATATACCATGTACGATAGCCAATGTTCTCATGCTATAAATCTTTGAGACATATATCTCATCCTACCCGATTCCAGCGGATTGATCTTGTCGTAAACCTCAGCCTTCTGCTAAATTATAGTTTAAGAAAATGTCCCATGCTTTAGCCTTGTTCCCTATTCATTACATTCTCTGAACAAAAGGCTAATACTGGTAACGTGCTCTGCTATTTCTTGTTGCTTTACGAGACGATGCTTGGAAGTCTTGTCTCTTTTCACCATGTCATAATGAAATATATTTTGTATATATCAAGACAACATTCATAATATCTTAGCTACCCAGTGTCCTAGTCTGATGCTGATGGGTATATCTTCCTGCTCTCCATTAATTGGTAAAAGGAGTAGTAATCTCTTACTTTATGCCATCAAGTCCAATGGAAAGGCAAATGGAAGCTGGTCAATATTTGAATTTTATGATCTTTCACCACCAATGGTCCACAGAAATTATTTTAGTACACAAGATATTAGTAGAATCATATCTGAATCTTCTCAACCTTGGTAATAATTCTAACTAGAGCTTGAGTTTTAGCTGAGGATTCGTCAAGCAAATCTATTTTTCATTTTGGGCTCTGAATATATTGATGCTGATTTCCTCTTGAATCTCCCCCACCACTTCCTTTCACCAATATCCTACTTCTCTGGTTAATTTGCTTCATAATGCACTAATTCTTTAAACTAGTGTAGTTTCCCACTAGTATTAGGTGTTTAACAACTAGGGATCACAGATTTGAATCCTAAAGAATTAACACGACTTCATTTCATTTTTGACCCGGAAATGGTCAAGTTGCGAGTGGGTCTTCTCTTTGCTCAATCTTTGCGCTAAGAACATACTCTTAAAATATTAAACTTTTCTGGTTGCAGGTGAATCTTGTTGACTGGTTGAAAATGATGGTTGGAAGCAGACGCTCAGAGGAAGTAGTAGATCCAAATATTGAATCAAGGCCACCAACAAGAGCTCTCAAAAGAGCCCTTCTGACTGCTCTGAGATGTGTTGATCCAGATTCTGACAAGAGACCAAAGATGAGCCAAGTTGTTCGTATGCTTGAATCAGAGGAATATCCCATACCAAGAGAGGTCGGTATCTGCTTTCTGTTTCCACTTTTCTTCTATTGCCACATGAAGCTCAAAATTTTTTCACTGCGAACTGTGCCCTCAAGTTTCTTATTTTGTTAAACTGTGATCCTGTTAGATACAATCAATTCCTTATCGTCGTTTGAACAGATGTGTTATATTTGCAGAGGTTACTAGCAGTTTTATTTTATTCAATGTGCATTGCTTGTAGAAGTTGTTGGATAAGCACAGTCATGTCCTAGAATTTATGAAAATGGCTTGTGTATTTGGATGTTCTTCCCTTATGTAGGGACTTAGATGTGGCGGAGATATTTGATTCCTAGCTTGGACTCTTAACAATACCTTCCTTTTTAGTCAACTGATGGAGGGGGATATAACAATCTTTATATCAACTTGTTTCCTGAGGTGTAGATAAAGAAAGGGATGATGAATAAACATCCATGTGAAGACACCTATTATTTGTTTGTAGGTGTGTCATTTGGATATGGGATAGAGATGGTACCGGATGATAAATATGCCTAACAGTATCAATATCTTCGTAAAAAAATATTTTTTCCTGTCAATTGCTCATCCCTTATTGAATGGTTTCTGAAATGAGGGTAACAAGGATGGACAAACTTCTCTCCTTGTTTCAGTCACTTCTATCCCTCATCAATTGATGGGCAATAGCATGTCATCCTATAAGTTTCCAGTTGTTCGAGGTTTAGTTTACTGCTAGGCGATGGAGATTGGAGAAGTTAAAGGGTGCAGCATCATGGATGCTTTAATGGATGTGTATTCTTTTCTTTAATGTCTCCGGTTCATCTTGGTGTATGTCCGAATTCTTTATGTTGCTGCATGTATCAACTGGAATTGTCTTTACTAGATCAACGTGTTGCTCATACCTATTGAACATATAACTGAAAGAACAAAATTATAGTAAATTTTTCACGCACAACAAATGAGAAACTTATGTATCATTTTCATTTTTGGCGACTGCAGGATCGAAGGCAACGAAGAGCTCAAGCAGGTAACGCAGAGAGTGAATCTCAGAATTACGACACTGACAAGAGTGACAACCCAGATTCAAGGTCAGAAAGTAGAAGGAATCATAAAGTATGACAGTCTTAGACACAGCTTTCTGGTCGTTAATGAGAAGCGTATTACTTACAAAGGCTTCACCATACTGAAGTCTACCGGATCAAATGAGTAGGAGGATGAACTGTTTCTGGTGGTATATTGTTGATCAGAGATTGACTACTCTTCTTTTTCTTCTCCCTTGGTGGGTTCTATTCTTTCTTATCTTTTATTTGTATCTCGGTTTTTCTTCCTTCTTTTTCCTCTTTTCCATTTTGGTTCTTTCCTTGTATGAAAGTAGATAGGGAGTTAATTGTGTTGTGGACTTGATGGTCTTGTAACTAAACTGAAAACAATCAGGGGGCGGGGGTTGTGTACAGAAGAATTTCTTTCTTTGGTATTCAGTATTATTTAAGTAATACTTCTATAATTTATTTTCCTTAAAAGGAATACTATGGTTCAAATCTCAGTACAGACAAAAAGCACTATGTGATTCCTTCTCATTTGCCTAAGTTTTGTTGAGTAAGATACCCAATACTTGTGCTGGTAGGAGATAACAAATATCTAGTGGAACAGTCGAGATTCACGCGAAAAGCTAAGAGTTGGACCTGATTTACAGGCTGTTGGGGCTTCTTTGTGAGTTTAGGGACCTACTCCAACTGGTAATTATTAGTACTACTGTGGGTGAAGCTGCTGGTCCCTAGTAATGCAACAATTGATTTTTCCTCAAAGCTTTCTAGTTACAAGCAAGAACTTGCATTATTATTAATGTTTGACAGTTCTTTGCTTGCAAGTTGCAATTCAGGTAGAGCCACCACCATTATCCACCCCTTACTAGAGTCTGAAAGACTTTTTTTGGGCAGAGAAATCCCTTAATACATTATTTTGTCCTCAAGACTCGAGAGTGGAAAGTCCTAAAAACATTCAACCTCGGTTTTGCTATAATCTGTTGCAACTTTATGTATGTCTTTTCAACTTTTTTTTTTTATTTTATGTTAATTAGTTCGAGCTTACAGCCTTACCCTGCATTTGAAGGGGAGCTTTGGCTTAACTGGTAAAGTTGCTGCCAAGTGACCAGAAGGTCGCGGGTTCAAGTTGTGAAAATATCCTCTTGCAGAAATGCAAGGTAAGACTGCGTATAATAGACTTTTATGGTTCGGTTCTTTCCCGGACCCCGCGCATAGCAGGAGTTTCAGTGGCGAAGCTAGGAATTTCTCTAAGTGTATTCAAATTTAAAAGAAGTAAAAAAATTCCGACAAAGGGTGTTCAATATGTGTTATATACCTCTAAAAAATAATATTTAATAGTAGGTGGTCCACGCAAATAAGGATTCTTGATGCAATACTCAAACGTCAGTGGTTGTTTTGACTCGCGAAGAAAGTTATGTAATATATTGATTAATAATCACTGAATTATCTAATGCATGTGTTTTCTGGCAATGTTTGGTCCGTTCATTAAAATTGAAAAGAACGGTGTGTAATATAAAACTTTACAATTTTTTGAGTACATTTTCAAAGTAAATAGAAGCTAGAAAGATGAAATCAAAGTTACTTTGGCCTTTTACGTGTTTTATCCTATCAAGCTACTCATCGCACAGGTTATTGGTTTATCGCATATTGGCTCTTGTATAAACTATTACCAAAATTGTAATATACAATTATATGCCAACCCAAATGCAATATAAAATAATATATCTAATATCATACTGGAAGTATTTCTTATCCCGTGACCAAACGACCCCCTGGTTGAGGACCAATTGAAATGGTTTCTAGTGAAAAAAGAAATCCAATTAATCAAAGAAGCTATAAATCAAGTCAGATAAGAGATGTCTATGCAAATAAATAAAACAAAAAATTAAGACGCAAAGATTGCCGCTGCTAAATGCATGTTTTCTTCTGGCAAATCCAGCTAAGAACAGTATTAAAATGCCACCAACTCGTGTGGTTAGCTAAATGTAACGAGGCTGACTCAGCTTATAGACAGAGACAGGAACCAAATCTCACATCACAAGATAAGGCTGCTAAGTCACTGAAATTATCCAAATGGCTTTGCTAGCATCTTTCCTCAATATTCAGTACAGGACAGCAGCCACACCATTAATTAGCTGTCTAATGAAGATGGACGTAACAAAGCTTTGGTGGGCAGAGTTTTAACAAGTATTCTGTGAAACAACAGTTGAGATGCGCGCAAATTTATCCAAACACCACATTTATCAGTGGGAGAGAGAGGGAGAACATTTGTAAATATAAGAAGCCAAGTAAAACTTATACCATTGACCCTCATGGCGAAGCCAGACGCCTACTCCAAATAGACCAAACAACCATGAGAAGTGTATTTTGCACTAAAAACTGCATTGGTCTGGTAATCTGGTCAATGTATTTATGTACAGCAGCTGAGTCAGCTTTGGAAACACAACTAAAAGAATACAAATTTTATGCACAGAAATCTAGCTTGGTTGCTCTTCAGAGGTCTCTTGCGTTTGGTAAATCTTACTGTTTGACTTGGGAATCAGGAGGTTTCCCGCGTTGCTGGTCATATTCTTGCTTCAGTTCCTCCAAATGCTTGGAAACCTATTAAGTGAAAAAAGACAAAATACAAATGAGCATAAACTTAAAAAGATGAAGCAGAAAGATAGGAGGGCAGCAATCAAATGAGTATTCAGCCCAGATGCTGAGAGCCTTTTGTTTCCTCTCTTTAGATTGTTTCAACCTTGTGCCCATATCCAGAATAAGACTCTTTCTGAGAAATCAAATATGCAAAATAAATATCATCAAGTATCATATGCCTACTCTTTAGCAAAAAACAATTCCTTCACTTTAATCCTTGCACAGGCTTGGCGGCAAATCTTTGCCACATACAACTTTATAGTGCTAATCAACCAACAGGCATGCAATGCATGAAATCAACTTCGTTTAACATTCATCCATATACTAGGGTTTTGCTTCTGAACTTTATCCACTTAGTTTATGGCTCCCTTCTAGATCCAAACTCAGCAGCCTTTTTAAAAAAAAAAAAAATGGTAAAGGCTGTGACCCAAGTGGGCTTGTGACCTGAGTGGGGGCAATAATGTGACAGGACAAGTTTTGTTCTAAAAGCTGAGGTCTGGGCCATAACTTGGTTCGAGTTGCCGAGTACCATTAATTGTCTTGACAAACTCAGCAGCCTTACAAGCCTGTACTGATTAGATTCTACTTGTATCTACTCAAACTACTTTAGTGTATAGATCCCACATTGAACAAAAAGTTTTTACTCACTAGGTTTACAAGCCTATGGCTCTCACAAAAGAAAAAGGCTCTCACAATTGCTGAGGAAGATGTACAAGAAGACATGCGAGAGAAAACACAAGCACAACTGATGCAAAATTACCCACATTAGGCATCGCTATATTTTTTTAATTCTTTAAATAGCTGTTATCATGTATAAAAATGAGAACTCCTAAATTTCAATACAAGGTAGAGTGCCACGTTTGAGTTCAACAGTTTCACTTCAGACTGAACCTTGACTTAAAAGTTTCAAAGTAAACTAAGCCTTGAGGCATCCATCATATCATATGTAGAGAAACATATAAGCGGCTGCTTAAGGACCACAGGAGAACCGAAATCACGCAATAGACAGCAAGAAACAACACCAGAGAAAGAAACAACAATAATTACATAGACAATTGGTTTAAGGAAAAATAGTCAAATTACTTCTACTAATGAATCCATTTCTCCATAGACTTCAATACTTATATATATATATATATATATATATATATATATATATGNAGCATACTAGAGGGATTAAGATTTTGGTCGTACAAGCTTAGGAACTGAAGCATGAACCTTTCGAGAAGTTTGTGGTATATATGTTCAAATACCTGTTGAAGGGTTGACAACAGCCTTATCAAGTCCCTTTTTTTCTCCATTTAACCAGTACAGATGGATAGCCTCTGTATTTTTCATTATGAGCAAAATTGGAAGTTTTGGAAGATACTTCTTATTTTAGACGCAAACATTAGAATATTACATTTTGATCAAATAAAAAAAGCATGAAACATCTATGTTTACCACCCACCACTTCTTCTAAGAGTCTGTGTCCATATTTGACTAGGCATTCATGTCCTAGTACATCAGATATATGGATTGAACCTACTCACTTTACACCCTCGTAAGTTAGTAAATGCATCTTTTCAAAGGTCACCTTATTAGGGCAATTGTGGTAACCATACGAGTATTAATACATCGACAGCTAGAAAACCACGGCTAGGAGAGTGTTGACTAGTTGGGGGGGGGGGGGGGGGGGGGGGGGAGAGAGAGAGGGCTAGCCTTGATTGAAAAAGCCATTGGTAACAGTATATCTGGATTCATGGCATCCTCAGGGAAGTTGCGCAAAGCATGTATGAGTTTCTCAAATGGCAACTTTACCTGCGAATGAGAGATTATTATAGTTGTTGTAGCCTGTAGGAGCAAGAAAAAGCAGCATTTATTAACTTTTCTATAATTAAAACTCACCAGGTCATCGTGGCAATATTTCAATAGAGCCAAGCCAACTTTGAAGACGACTTTAATACCCTGGGACAGTGAATTTAGTAAGCTCAACAGTAAATTCAGGCATCAGAGAGTGGATAAAGATGAAAGATTACTGACCTCAAAAAGGAAAACATCCCAAATTCTGAGAGCCAAGTGAAATGGAAAAGAGTACGAGAAAACAGTTATGAACCACTGACTTGCATACATGCTGGGATTTATCATTTCCTGAACAAAATGTTCACCCAACTTCGGCAGGTGCTCTTTCACCAAACTATCAAACTGAAAGAGGTATTGCTGTACAAGCGGCAATCCTACCTAGTGCGCATGTATAAAATTCATTATTTTAATACAAAGTAGGCCATATGACAGATGTTATCTAATCATTGTAATGAAACAAAGACTTCCTAATATGTGGAAGTGGCTGAAAGTCTCCAGAGCATTATGCCGTAATAGTATAGTTGGATAGACATAAACAAGGTGTTTTACTTCTTAATATTTTTTATTTTGATTCATCATGAAACTCATTTACTTATCTTCTTTTCTTAAATATCATTTTCTCCTTTTCTTCTAATACTCCCTCTGTTTCATTTTACATGACACTCTTTCTACTTCGAAACATTCCAAAATATTTGAAACAATTCAATCTCTATCCAACTTTCACAACTCGAAGAATTCAAATCCATTTAATTATACAAATTTTAAACTTTGATGTGCCTTCTTCTCTGTCAAGCTAACCATTACCTTACTATTTTTTTTTCTCACTACAACTGATATGATACAGAAGACAAAATGAATACCTTAAAACTCTGTTCCCATCAAACATCATCACATAGTTGAAAGGAGAGAAAAGCTTGATACTAGTCATAGGCTCTATAAGATTTAGTCTTTTTTTCCCTAACATCTCTCAGTGTCACATAAACATCATGTGGTGGTGCACGCAGAGACAGCTGAAGAAAAGAGCCAGGTCCTAGTTATTACTGATAGGATAAACGTAAACGAAATGAATTTTAAACCCCTATTTCATGTTTAAGCTATTATATGAACCCCAGATTATGGAAGGGGTTTCTGAATTTGTATCCAGTTGATTAAGGATATAAAAATCACAAATTAGGTGCTAAACATGGATACTATGGTCATTAATGGAGTCTGAAATAACAGTCAAACTCTTCACCCTTAGGAATTGATCACATATTTCACATCCAAATTCTTCTGAGTTCAAATGTATCGACCATCCACACATATCGGTGAGCATCAAGCAGTTTCAAGGTTGAGCCTTACCAAGTACATTCCTTCCATAGGAGTGTGAACGGCTCCCTTCAACAATGCAACCAATAACCAAAATGCATCTTCTTCACTCATGTAAAGAAGAAGCAGACCTGCTACAAATCCCATGCCCTGCAATCAAAATCATCAGTATCGGTTAACCAGACACTAGATCACCTGTCAATCAATAAATTAAGGATATATACCTGTACATATCCAACATCTCGGTCAAAGACGGAATATGCTTTCAGAACGTTGTAAAGAGACCTTTGACCAGGTCCATGTCTCTGCTGAAAGAAAACATGTGAAGGAAAGGTGCGAGAAATATCTCGAATAATATCCAATTCGGAAGCTGATGTCTCATATATGACAAGTTGCTGCAACAGATAAAAGTTCAATCAGTTCAGAGATTTCCATTACACAGGTAAAGCAAAAATGAACAAGCCGAAAATGGAGCAATCAGTTGAAAAGCAGCAGAACTAGCTCGCACTACAAGTCTTTAAAAAAAACTAGTCCGGAACTACAAAAAGTCTACCTCATAAACTCCAGGATTCAGCAGCAAGAGGTCCCGACTTCCAGAAATTAGCTGCCAGACGAGCCCCCTTAGACAATCAGGTATTCCTTTCCGTATTCGCCTTTTAACAACATGTGGTTTCCTCCGAACATACTGCTTCCAGTCACTTCCTCCAACACCTATCATTTTTCTCCATTTCCTAATCCTTCTTTCATCTCTGTAAAACATTTTTATGAATGTAAAAAGAGCATCAACCAATCAACAATCAATCAACTATACCTTAATTCCAAACTAATTGGGTTCAGGTGTATCTATATATCCATTCTACTCTATTCAGGTCCATTAAATGCTATAAATTCATGATACAAGTATGTTGGATAATATGTGAAGGGCAACAATTTACTTCTCATACACGAACATTACTTCACTGTGCATCTATCATATGACCACCAGCGGAAATACTGCAGAAACAAAGTTGTTTCTCGCATCAACACAATGCATTAGATGATTTCTCCTTAATATGGAGTTCTGTTGATCTGAAGATGCACCATTTAAATTTTGTGACATTACAAAAATATGATTACACTTTCGTCTACAGGATGGAAAATTGGGTGATAGTGGAGGGGTGAAAAAGAGAGTCACCACTAGAGAAGTACAAATAGGATAAGAAAATTTACATGTCCAGTTTAACAACAGCAACTAATGAATAAAAAAAGTAGTTTCTTACCTCTGATATTCAAAGGCCGACCGGCTCCTTGCTAAACCTTCAGTAGGGCTATGTTCCTGCTTCACGAAACCGAATCTATCAACTCGCATGGGAACAACTGGGCCTTCCTCATTTTCATCTACTACTTTACTTTCCATTGCTAACCTAGAACAACCCCAACACTACACTCCAATAGAACATTAGACTACTGCCCGCAACATTTCCAACTGCATGGACCAGTAGTACAGATTCTCCTAAACCCTGAACTGCATTAAAGGGGCCTGCTTGTTAAGAAATACAAACATCATAACATTGGAAGAACTCTACCCAATTTATCAACAAAAAACACATCTTACAAAAATTCACCTGAAAATTACTTTACTAATACCAATTGGTTTTGTGGGATGATTTCCACACTGGCTCACCCTATGAAGAAAAAAGAGAAATTTTAGAGTCCTTTCAAATATTATAAAAACAGACGATCTGAAAATTGCATCAGCATACATTAGAATCATACACCAATGACTTGTTTGTTTCGGGATTATTTTCACCTGATTTCATTTGAAAAAAATACGTAATGTATAACAATGCTGTAATGAGGGTAAAGATAAAATATCAAAGTGCAGACAAAACAACAATATCTCATTAAAGGTTAACACAACATTCCGTACCATTCATATCAAACGCCAAAACAAGAACAAACAGGTTCGAATGAATTCCCAGCTAAATGGGGCACAAAATAACGAGAGATTAAAAATCCACATTCAATTTTATATAAAATTACAACCTTTATATTCATAGACTAAGAATTTTCATATCTGCGAATCATTTTTTGGGGTTAAATTTTAAAAGGGGGAAAACAAAAAGGGGTAGCAATTGGGGGAGAAAACGAACCTGGATAGATAATTCCAGCATTATGGAGAGATTAAAAACTACTATGTGATTTGAATTTCTTGTTGACAAAAATACTACTATGATTTTTCCAAGAAACAAGAACAGATTAAAAGAAAAATTATGTCTCTGTTTACATAGCTGGCGTGTGCATTTTACGCTTTTAGAAATTACTCGTGAGGCCGCGTTTTCAGGGTGGGTTTAACATATTATTTTTTTCTTTCTTTTGGGTACATAAATTGGGATAAATTAATAGTAATTCATATTTCAGTTTTATTTGTTTTTCTTCGTCTAATGAGATCTGAGCAATTATGAAAACATTTGTTGAAAATATCTGTCTGATCTGATCTGTTACATATAAGTTGTTCCAGATCATTTCATATTTTGTAAGTATTATTTGTATACTATCTTATTATAAGATCCAAAAACGCATTACACGTCAAAAATGTCATTTAACGCACCAAATCGTTACTTACTCCTCTCCATAATAAATAACTTTTTGGCATTTTCACTTTGGTTCAAAATAAATATATTTTTTACATAATCAAGAATGAATTAACTTTAATATTGCAATTTTAACTTTATTTACATATCCCAAATATGTCCAGTTAACAATATGCAAATTTTAAATAAGGGTAATTTAGTCAAAATATTTTTTTTTTCTAAGAGTTGGTATTTTCTTAAGGGGTGTGCCAAAGGCTAAAAATCAATTATTATGGATATAATTTTTTGTTTTAGATAATTATCAAGTATGAGAAATGATGAATCTGAATTAAAAAACTCTATCAATAGTGGAATTAGATGAAGGTTGTGTTTGGTACGAAGGAAAATATTTTTCATAAAATGTTTTTTAATTTTTTCATGTTTGAGTGGCTTAAATGTTTTGGAAAATATTTTTCTCCAATTGGAGGAAAATGTTTTCCCTATCAAAAGAAGGGAAAATATTTTCCAAAACTCTTTTTCAATCTTCTCCACCCTATTCCACATCCTCACCANAACTAATAAAAGTATGTAAATTGCAGGAATGTTGCAAGTTTGGGCTCCCATGATGAAATCTGACTCAAAAAGGAGTGTTCCCGACTCACAAGGTAAGAAGGGGCGCAGAACATAAGATGTGCGTTCGCAAAAGGATTTCTGTGGCTGCAGAAGAATTCCCTCTACGGCCGCAAAACAAGTGAAGAAGCCCAACACCACTTTAGTTGATGTGCGGCCGCAGAACAATATGTTCACTAACAGAAATTCAAATGTTCAGAGAGTGTGTAGATGACTAAGGCTTGAAGCATTGCCTAAAGTGCGGTCCGCACGAGAATTGTGTGGCTACAAAAGCTGACTTGCAGTCGTATACCATATTGTGCGGCTGCAGAATCCAAGATCCTGCAAATTGACGTAATGTGCGGACCGCACATGAAATTGTGCGGGCGCATAACCTCCTGAGGGACATTTTTGTCTGCGAATATTTGGCCACTATAAATAGGTGAGAATTACATTTTTAGGTCAAGTTTCGAAGTTTGAGCTGTTGTAGCCGTTGTATTTTGCTATATTAGGAAGTTTGTTACTATTTTAGGATTTAAACATCATATTTTATCATAGTTTAATTAGTAGTTTTCTTTGTTTTCTTCATTTCTCACTATAAGTAGCTAAATTCTTACTAGGGTTGTGACCCAACCCTGTTGTGTAAACCTTATGGGTATTTAATTTAATGTTTGTTATGATTGGGTGTTGATTATTTACACTAGCTTATGCTTCAATTTTAGAATTAATGGTTGAAAACATTGATTCATGCATTTTTACTAGGTCTTTACTTGAGAAAGAGGGACATAGTCTAGGATGACTTGGCTAAAAAGAAATTGGGCTAATTAAGAGTTTGATTAGCCTAATTAAAGGGTTTGAACTAGAGATAGTGAGAACCCGACTTGAGCTCATATCAACTATTTAGCTTGATACCCATTTGGACTTGAGAAATCCAAATTGGGCAAACTCACTCTATAACCGAGAGGTATTGATTGGGTAACTAGAGTTGAGAGTTATAATACACTCCGATCAATAAAATACGCATTAATATATTTAACCCATTAGGCGAACACTTAGGTTAAGGTTACATCCCTAGGCATTTTAACTATTTGGAAAAACACCAAAAACAATCGTTCGCTTTCTAGTTTATTCTCTTAGCTTAATATTGTTAGAGTAAAATTAGAATTAGAAATCAAAACCCTGTGTTTTGAAGTGCAATCTAGTTGTTCCATTTGCTTTCGTCAAGTGTATACCCCTAACACCCATATTAAACTCCCTGTGGAAATTGACCCCGACTCTTATTGGGGTACTATGCTTCTAACGACCGTTTTCACTCACTATTAAGTGCGGATTGGACGTGGATCACCCACCACCCAACCTAAATAGAAATATTATTAAGAGTATTTTCTTTTCATGTTGTAAATAGAGAGCTTTTTTTATTTCAACAAAATGAGTATATTCTTTTCATGATATAGAAAAAGTATTTTTTTTTTATTTCAACAAAATGAGTATATTCTTTTCATGATATAGAAAAAGTATTTTTTTTTTATTTCAACAAAACGAGTACTTTTTCTTTCATGATATAGAAAAAGTAGTTTCTTTCATTTTAACAAACTAAGTATTTTCTTTTCCTGAAATAGAAAAAAATATTTTTTTTTCAACAAAACGATTACTTTCTTTTCATAATGTAGAAAAGTATTTTCTTCCATTTCAACAAAACTAGTACTTTTTTTTCATGATTAAAAAAAATATTTTCTTTTATCTCAACAAACTAAGTATTTTTTTTCCTATTCTAGAGAAAAAATCTCACTTTAACAAAACGAATACTGCTTTTCATGAAGTGAAAAAGTATTTTCTTCAAAACAAGTACTTTATTTTCATGATGTCAACAACAACATCATACCCAGTAAAATTCCAATAGTGGGGTCTATAGAGTGTACGCAGACCTTACCCCTACCCCGATGTAACGACTCGACTTGTCGTTTTAAGAATTAACGCCTCGCTCAGTGACTTAAGGTCTAGAGAAGTTTCGCAATATGTATTATGACCGCGAGTGTGGTCAAGTTTGATTTTCGAAAGATTCAGAATTAAATTAAAAGAACAATTTTTATTTAGAAGCTTAAATGGAAAGAGTTGACCGGAGAGTTGACTTTTTAGCAAACGACCCCGGAATAGAATTTCGATGATGGCAATAGCTTCGTATGATGATTTCGGACTTAGGCGTATATTCGGATTTGGATTTGGAAGTCCGTAGGACAATTCGACGCATTTTGGCGAAAATTGAAAAATAGAAGATTTTTGGAAAGTCCGACCGAAGGTTGAATTTTTGATAACGAGGTCGGATTTCAATTCCGAAAATTTGAATAGCTTTATTATATCATTTATGACTTGTGTGTACCAAAACTAACCCCTGTCGTGATGGCGCCTATCGTGGAACTAGGCAAGCCGACTCATTTCCAAAATAACCGATATTTTTATTTCAAAGATAATTTTAAGGCTATTTAAACATAAAACCTCCATTTAAAGAGTTCAAATCAAAGAAAAACAAAAGTACAGAAAAGAAAAGTCCGGCATCGGAGTGTCACTATTCATGAGCATATACTATAATTTGTCTAACAATATCAAGGCTAACTCAACCCGAAAAATAGATAAATACAACTAGAGGAAGATAAGAGGGAGAAGAGCAGGGGCTGCGATCGCCAAACAACTACCTTGCTGTCTCCAAGAAAATCTGCAACCAGAACACTCAATAACTGCTACCGTATCCAGTTACAGCTGAATCTGCACACAAGGTGCAGGGAGTAACGTGAGTACGCCAACTCAGTAAGTAACAACAATAAATAAAGATTGAGCAGTAGTGACGAGCAATAAAGCATATAACGTTCATATCAGGAAATCTCAGTAAAATACCACATGCTTTTAAAAATTAGGATTTGAATCAAATTATCTAGTATAAACCCAGTTCCAGTAAAAATCATTTAAAGACGTTTTTCCAACAGTTTTTCAAACAAAGGCTCAATGCAAAGGTGAGCAAAAATGATAAAATCATAAATAGCCCCTCGGGCAAAACTTCATTCATATACAGCCCCTCGGGAAAACCTCACAGTCACTCGTGCCACTGGGGCATACCTCACAATTACTCTTGCCACTCGGGCATACCTCACAATCACTTATGCCTCCCAGTCACTCGGCACTCGGCACTCGCACTCATTAGGTATCTGCTCTCACTGGGGGTGTGTACAGACTCCGGAGAGGCTCCTTCAGCCCAAGCGCTATAATCTGCACGGACAACTCATGTGCGGTAATAATAAAGTATGCTGCAGACGGGCAACCCCAATCCACATTCATCCTCACCAATCAGGCCCTCGGCCTCACTCAGACATAAGTATGCTGCAGGCGGGCAGCCCCGATCCACACTCATCCTCACAAATCAGGCCCTCGGCCTCACTCAATCATAAGTAACTCAAGCCTCTCGGGAATTTCAGTAAAACATGGCATTAGGCCCAAAATATTTATATGCATCAAAATAGAGTCATAAAACTGAGCTATGCGGTAAACAAATATAAACATGATTGAGTATAGATTTTCAATCGAAAACAATGAGAGAATGGTAAGAAACAGCCCCTAAGGGTCCAAACAGCATTGGCGCAAAGCCCCAAACATGGCATTCAGCCCAATTTACAGAAATTCTTTCTAAAACATATAAGTATCAAATGGTTTCAACAAAGTATGCAACTTTACAGTTGCTACGCGATGGACCAAGTCACAAATCCCCAATAGTGCACGCCCACATGCCCGTCACCTAGCATGTGCGTCACTAAAAATAGTAGAATGATACAAAATTCGGGGTTTCATACCCTCAGGACTAGATTTACAATCGTTACTTACCTCAAACCGGTCAAATCTCTACCCCGCAATGCTCTTGCCTCCGGACTCGGTCTCCAAATACTCCAAATCTATTCACAATCAGTATAATAATATCAATATACGCTAATGGAATGAATTCCACAAGAAAAGCTTCAAAATTAGACCAAACCCGAAATTGGCTCAAAAATCGCCTGTGGGGCCCACGTCTCGGAACCTGACAAAAGTTACAAAGTCCGAAATTCCATTCAACCACGAGTCTACCCATACCAATTATACCAAAATCCGACCTCAACTCGACCCTCAAATCTACAAATCTTATTTC